AGAGATGACGCATAATCATGCACCACGCTTATTGAAATAAAAGTGCAGACACACACAGGCACCTAATTTCCTGTGGTGGTCAGTGACGGGAATTAAGAGAGAGGGTCAGAGGCAGAGAGGACGTGGGGAGGAAAGGTCCGCTTCCCACAGCACGGCCGGAAGGGGCGTCGCCAGACAGCGGAAGAGGTGAAGGCTTGAGTCCTGACAGGGTCTTGTCATCCACGCTCGGTGCACAGCAACGTAGCTCAGCATCGTCGAGAGGACAGGAGGGAGCAACGAATCACAGCAAACAGACAGAATCACAGAAATAAAGAAGGGCTGCAGGGAGAACCGACGTTACGTAGGATGTAGAGATTTAGGGGTGTGCTCCTGCTCCAACTTTATGAGTACAATTGAATTTTCCATTATAGCAAATTAAAAAAAATTAGGGTGCCAAGAAAAAGAATCAAAGCAACCCCAAAGCAGGTGGACCTACTGGAGGGCGATGACCAGAGTCCCCAGGTGTCGCTCGACCGTTCCCTCCACAGGTGAGAAGACGACGCTCTCACACGGACACCCTTGGACACCACAAAGAATAAAGCCTGTGGTGGCTCACAGTGCACCTGCGTGTCCCTCATTCTTTCATGAGTTAAAAAATAATTTAATAACAGAACTTAATAAAAAGCAATTCTTGAGGAAAAGAACACCAGATTTATTCCCCGGTTTACACACTGTTTATAAGTGCAATTATTTACATCTTCATGTAACGTGAGGCAGAGGCTCTATTGTCACCAAAATTGACCTATAGTGGAGAAATAATGAAACCATTGCAGCAATACTGTAATAACTGTAAATAAAATTAGCAATGTGTTACAGGAAAGGAGGATCATGAAACGTGGAAATTAGAAATGAGAAGCAGTTTATCCAGATACTTGGGCTATAGATTTGTTTCTACTTCCCACTGATTATACAATTTTTCCTTTATTTACTTTGGTTTCTCCTTCCATTTGAAGATAATTAATTCCATTTGACAATCCTTAAATCTTATAAAGCATGTGTAGAAAATAAAATGAAAGAAACATCAGATCCTTGGGAGATAAAAAGTGCTAAGACACAAGAACAGAAGTCACTACCATGAACGGTAACATGCGCATATCGATGACATAAGATAACTATTTAGTTTTTAAGTCATATCTATCACTCTTCCATCCCCCAAATCCCCTTCTAAGCAGAGGTCATGTTTTCTTTTTTTAAATAAAAATTGCCGATCCTTTCTCTGACCAGCAGTGGTTAACTTAATTGCTTTAGCAGAGCACTAATGCAGCTATGATCATGCAACCCTAGGGACAGGCTTGTTAGAGTCGATTTAATCCAATTCAACAGAAAAAGAATCTACCACGTGTTGAGCTCAGTCATGAAAAATAAAACAAGTAAGACCTCTTTCCTTTCCTTCAGAACCTCATGATTTAACGAGGTGATGGAAGCATAAATCTGTGTCTAGCACACACAGATGCCGGGACGAGTTGAAGTGAGGGGACGACGCAATGCACCGGGAGCGAAGAGCCCTCGTTCTACGGCAGAAGCGGCCGTGTGGGCGGGAGGGAAGAGGTGCTCGCTTGACAACAGGGATGCTGCTTGAGAAACACCTGCTCATGCAATTTCGGGGATGCACAAACATCCCAGAGTGTACTCGCCCACACCTAGATGGTGCAGCCTACTGCACACCTGGGCTGTGTGGTCCAGCCTGGTGCTCCCAGGCTACAGACCTGCCCAGCATGTCACCGTATTAAGGGTATCCAAGGGTCACATGACATCGTCACACGCTGTAGCCCACCAGCCTGCAGATAAACACACGCGGCTTCTACTGTCCCGCATTCTAAGAACTGTCCCTTGTTCTAAAGGCAATATGTGTAACCTAAACATTTACATCCCCGTAATATGCTGAAATAAAAGAAAAAAGAAAAAAAAGAAAAAAGAAGAATTTGAGCTGTGACATCACTACTGATTTAAAGGATGATAGGGGAATATTATGAATAAATTTATGCCAATACATTTGACAAATAAAATTTAAAAAATCCCTTGAAAGGTACATACTATCATAGCACACACAAGTAAAAACAGACAACCTATTGTACATAAGCCCGTGAGTAGAAAAGAAGTTGAATTTGTAGTTTAAAAACCTTCTCATAAAAAATTCCAATTCCAGATGGTTTCACCGGTGAATTATTCAAAACAATTTAGAAAGAAATATCCCAATTATACACAAACTCTCTTAGTATATTCCAGAAGAGAACATTTTCCAATTAATTTTATGAGACCATTATTACTATGATGGCAAAACCAATGTCTTTACAAGAAAAGACTATAGCCCAACATTGCTCATGAACATAGCTGCAAAAAATCTAAACATAATTTTAACAACTCAAATCCAACAGTATATAAAAAGGATAATATATTTTAACCAAATTTTATCCTAGAATGCAATTGATTTTTAACACTGGAAAAACAAATTAATTTATTATATTAACAAACTAAATATATAAGTAAACAAACAAAAGATCATCCCAATAGGTGTAAAAAAAACAGCTTTTGAAAAAATTCTATATCCATTTCTGACTGAAAACAAAAAAGCAAAACAAAACAAAAATGCAACAACTCTCAAAAATTAAAAATAGACGCATACTTCCTCAACCTGATAAAGGGCATCTGTGAAAAACCTACATGTAATCTCATACCTAAGATGAGAGTCAGAACGCTTTCCACCGAAGCGCAGGAATAAGAACGGGATGTCTCACCATTTCTATTCAATCTTATAATATAGTTTCTAGCCAGTGAATACAAGCAAGAAAAGTAAATAAAAGACATCCACATTGGAAAGCAAAAATTAAAACTCTATTTGCCGATGACAATATCATCTAGGGAGAAAGTCCTATGAAATCTACCAAAAACTACTAGAACTAGCTTATCACAGTTATGTGTATAGTTGTATACACACATACACATCCTCCATAGATGATAAAATATTTTGCATTTGTATTTAATAGAAAATGTAATCTTGCAAATAATTTAACCAGATGTTATATTAATTGATTACCATTGCCACAAACTTGGAGACATGTAAATAACATAGAGTTTCCCCAAGAAATTAAGGGAGTGAAAGATAGTCTCTTCTGAGATAAGGTTCCACAATCCATCCTTGACTGGCCACAGGTCTACACAGCCTGGCTTCCCTCTGACCTCCACCCCAACCAGATCAACATGGCCCTTATAGCTAATGCTTACCCTGAGCTAAACCTCCTCTTCAGAAATAAAGCTAAGAATGAAATATCAGCATAGTCACCTAGGAGACTACAAAATTTTCATTATTGCCCTTGTGCAAAGTAGATACTGGCCCCAAATGTTCATAACTTCTCTGTTAACTTTTGAAGCTTACGCATTTTCTCTGGCTCTCTTCACCGGTATTGTCAAATATAATTTAATTTGCTATGTTTTACAATTGAGCTCTACAACCTAGACCAAAGAAGTTTGTAGATTCCCGGGGAGCATTGCAAGGATGACAATATTGCATGGACAGCACCCCTCACAAATAAAGTGCTTTTGGCAAATGTGCATTGAGTTCTATTGTGCCAGGCACTATTACAGTCACTGAAGAAGCAGAGGTAAACAAGACACCAGCTCCAGCCTGGGGGAGCTTAATTCAAGGGGGAAAATGAACATGCAAACACATCATCGTGACTCATTGCTGTCAACTCGAAAACCTTGTGTGCAACGCAGGGAGGCACAAAGGTTTTTGGAACAGAATCATGAAGAACATTGTCTCCTCAGTGAGGGACACCAAAGAGACGACTTTAATTCAAGGAAGGAATACATAGCATGGAAAGCCCTTGGGAGGACGTATAATTTTATCTGTTTGCTTTGTTTTCAAAAGAGATAAAATTCCTGAATGTCTTCAAGTGACAGCTATTTTATATGATAACAGAAAACCAGCATTTTTCTCTGTTAGCTTCTTTTCTTGACCAATTCCTGGTCGAGGTGTTACCAGCTGATACAGCCCTGCACCAGACTCACCGGGATTGCTAACGACTGTTTACCAACGGCTCTTTCTCTGGAGAACTTCCTCCAGCCACAGGAAGGGAAGAAGCCAATGGCTGACAGGCGGGACAGCAGGTACCAAGGTGGGCCTGCGTGTTGGTACAGTCTCTACTCCAGAGTTCCCCGTGGGATCAGACCAAAGTCAGTCTCCCGTTAAAACCAGCTCCCTGCTTAGCATTCTAAACAACCCATCCCATGTTCTTTACTTTTCTCCAATTTTTAGCTTACTTTAATGGCCTCAATTATCTGCACGCATCTTTTTTTGTTTCCCTCTCAAAAATGGTGAGATTTTTAAGGAGGAAAACATATTTCCTGCTTCCCTTTACTCTTTGATGATACAGCTACTCCTAATATTAGTATTAATCTCGTAAGGTGGAAAATTTTAAGTTTTTTAAACTAATTGAAAAAATGTAAAAGTCCAAAGTGATAGGATGATTATAATTGCTACCACATTCATGATATAGCCACTGGAAAGCAGTCTCTTGTTTGTCATAATCCTAGTAACATAATTCACAACATTTTCTTAATGAACTGGATTGGCTGCTACTAACCTTCATCATTTCTAAAGTGTATTTAATAAAATAATTATGAGGTTATGACTAAATTTTACCCCCTCTATTTTTCACACATTAAAATCTTTAGAATATGAAATGGTATCAGATGAAATAAAGAAAAACATCCTGAACACCAATTTTGACAATATACATTTAGAGTTAAATTTGTATTATTGGCTCATATAGTGACAGGTGTCAACTCCAGAGTATTTTTCAGCGTATGTTTTAGAGTTCTACAAATAATATAGCAACATAGCAATTGAGCAGTTGTACCTTTACATCAAAAGGACAAAAGACTCAAACAAAAATGGATTGCTGAAATTATGTATGTGTTAAAAAAATAAATGCTTTCCCAACCAATATTTCATCTCCTACCTGAAGTCAGAGCCTGCTCTTCTACCATTTTCTGGAATCCCGGGATCTGGACACATGTCGGAGACCAACGCGACGCCTCCTTGGCTCACTGTAATGGAGAGAAATGTTATTGAAGTGTTGTGCAGCTGTTGAGGAAATAACCAGAGAATAAATTTATTCTAGGCATATTTGGTTCTTTAACGATCATTAATTAAAATGTGATTTCTTTAAGAAGTAAGACAGCTTAGGTACATTGAAATCAATATTTATTCTTATTGGTAAAAATCAAATTTATTTTTCTCAGAGAAAGGATGACAACATTCTTTGGTTTGAACTTTCTACTGTATTAAAAAAAGACCAGAATTGAATTTTAAAAAAATCTCATTTGTTCATTATGACTCCTTTTATGTCAGGTCACAATTAATAGCATCATGAGAAAAAATGGCATTACGGGAACAATGCCCACTCTTACAGAGAAGAAAGCCTTCCTCAATTCCCATGGACAACAACAGGGATGATAATTATTTACTCCTATGTATACAAGAGATAGTTTAAATACAATTACTTATATTTTAAACATTGGATGTTCTTATCATTGAACTAAAAACCTAATGGTCTTTCTGTTCAGATGTGCTGACCTGTTTCTTGAGTCTATTCCATGAAGGGCCTTCCCTCCCTTTGGCATTTGCGCCATCACAGAATAGTTTCTAAAGAACTCATTTCCTTATTGGATAGGGATGATGCCACTGTAACATTCCACACTATATAATTTGTCTGGTCCAACCAATGTGATTACCTGTTTCTTTCCAGGAATTTGCTCAACAGAGAGCTTATTACCCAATCTCCACTTTAATGAAATGTGAAGGGAACTCCATAGTAGTTCTGGGAAATGCTACTCTGTGTTAAGAGAGAACATATCTCCTTTACTCTGAACATTTCTGCAACTAGATTTTGGGCACTGAACTGTTGGTGCCATCTTGTTATGTAATCCAAGGATAGAGGCAACAGCATGGGTGGAATAGAAGAGATATATCAAGAACCTGGACCTTCCATATCATTGTTGAGACAGGAAAGTGACCATTTCAGGAATCTATCTTAATTCTGAACATCCAGTTGAATGACTCATATATTTACTATAGTTTAAACCCATTTGAATAAGTGATTCTATTATTTGCTGTTGAAAAGTGTACATACAAATAGACATGTTCTCACACATCTTTTAAGTGACTCCATAAGAAGAAAAAAGTATGTCTAGGCAGATGTTGAACTCCTAAAATATTTTATTAAAAATATGTATAAAAATAATAATTATAGCAAATTGTTTTCATTTTTCATTGCTGAATTAGGATAAAATTGGGTGAGGATATAATCCTTTAATGAATAAAAATCCTATCAGAATATATGAAGTGATTTCATTCCTAGTAAATACTTCACCATTCCAAATGGGTAAACCTATATTTTTTACAGATTTTTATTTATTTTTTAATCAAGTTTTTAATAACATCTAAAAATTATTTTGCTGTATAGTGTGAGAATTATACTGAACATCAACATTTTATTTTCTAAATATTTAATTTTCTCAATGTCATTTCAAAATAATCTAGCAAGTTGGGCAGTGACATTAGCAGACGATAGGAAAGAAAGCTCCAGACCCTCATTTCTCCATGGAAACATCAAATAAACAATTATCAACAGACTAAAATAATTCTACAGGAGCTCTGGGAACTGGTCAAAGATCTATAGCAACCATACAAATATCCAGTGAAGAAAATGCCACATTCAAATTCGTAGGACATTTCATGGGGTTTTCACTCTTTCTTGTCTCACACTCCCCCTGTTGTGGCACAGTGCACTTGAGAGCAAGTGGCCCAATTACCAGTTTCCTTTCAAGAAATGGAGAAGCAGAAATAAACTATTTGGCAACATTCTAGTTTCTCTGTGGGATGCCTGAGGGACTGATTTCTGTCTTTCCTGACTTGGAGCTCAGGAATGATGGCATAGTTTGGATCTCCAACTGGAAGCTATGGGAAGCAGTGGTGTGTGCCACTGTGAAGAAAACCGCAGCAGTACTGCAGACCCATGGGTACCTGTGGGTAATAGATTAAAGGCAGAAGAATACAACAGAACAGCTAAGGCCCCAGGAAGAAGCTGGGTTGAGGCTTATTGGAATTTAAGATATTTCAAAGCACTTGGAAAAAACAAGCAAACAACAAAACTTAAAAGTACACACACAAACCCAGACTGGACACATTTCCAGAAAAGACTGAGAAGACTTTAAGTCTTTACTCCAGGTTGCTCTCAAGACTGAGAGGCTCACTGATTAGTGAACATCTTCAACTTTATTCTGCAAAGACTGCAAGAGGTAGTTGATTTTTTTTTAAAAATGCCCAATCTTTTTAACAAAGATCTCAAGGCATACAAAGAAATGGGGAAACAGGGTTCATTCAAAGGAACAAAATCAATCTCTAGAAACAGTCTTTGAAGAAACATATGCATTAGATTTACTAGACAGCAAATTTAAAACAACTATTCAAATATGAATTTGAAGAAATAATGGCTAGATATTTCCCAAATCTGAGAAAAGACATGGATATACAAATCCAAGGAGTTCAATGAACTCCAAGTATGATAAACCAAGAGAGATCCACAATGAGATACATTATAATCAAACCGTTAACAGCCAAAGAAAAATAGAGAATCTTGAAAGCAGAAAGAGAAAATCAACTTGTCACAAACAAGGGAACCCTAATAAGACTATCGTCAGATTTCTCAGCAGAAACTTTGAAGGTTAGAATGCAGTGGGATGACATATTTAATCACTGAAAGAAAAGAATGTCAACTAAGGCTGTGTATATCGAGCGAAACTATTCCTAAAAAACAAGGGAGACATTAAGATTTTCCCAGACCAAAAAAAAAAAAAAAAAGTGAGGGAGTTTATTATCAGTATAACGCCCTAAAAGAAATGCAAAAGGGAGTCCTTCAAGTTGAAACAAAAGGACACTAGACAGTAACTTGAAGCCATATAAAAAGAAAAAGTTCTTCAGTAAAGGAAAACACATGAAAACCAGTACTCTAGTAATTTTGGTTTACAACCCAACTTTTTATTTTCCACAGTATTTAAAGGCAAATGGATAAAAATAATTATAAATCTATGTTAACAAGTACATAGTATATAAACATGCAATTTATGACATCAATATCATAAAGTAGGGGGGCAGACTTGTCAGGAGTAGAGTTATTATATATGACTGAAGTTAAGTTGGTATTAATTTAAGAAACTGTCATAAATTTAGGATATCATATATAATCTCCATGGTAACTTCAAAGAAAGTATCTATAGAATAAACACAAAGGACATGAGAAGGGAATAGCAATATGTCACTATAAAAGAAAATAAATTAAACACAGAGAAAAATAGTGATGGAGGAAATGAGGGACAAAAAAGCTGTAAGACATAAAAAAATCAAATAAGAAAATGGTAAAATGGTTAAGTATTCCTTATAGGTAATTAATTTAAATATAAATGGAATAAATCCCTGTTCCAGGCTAAATTATGTCCCTCCCCCTAAAAATGCATATGTTGAAATCCTGACCCCCAGGACCTCTGAATGCGACTGTTGGAGATAGGTTATTTGAAGAAGTAATTAAGTTGAACTGTAGTCAAAAGGGTGGGCCCTGATCCAGTATGACTAATGACCTTACAAGAAGAGGAGGTTAGGACGTGGATGCGCAGATGAAAGACCACGTGAAGAAGCAGGAAGAAGACAGCCATCAACAAGTCAAGGAGAGAGACCTCAGAAGAAACCAACCTTGTCAGTACCTTGATCTCAGACTTCTAGCCTCAGATCCTTGATGAGGTCAGTTTCCGTTGTTTAAGCCATCCAGCCTCTGGTGTGGCACAATGTTACAGCCGAACTAGTAAACTAATACACCCCCAAACCAAAAGACATAGATTGGCAGAATGAATTAAATAATATATAAATAAGTGACAGGATCCAGCTATATGTTGCCTACAAGAGACTCACTTTAGATCTGTGCACCCACAGAGCTTAAGCATGAAGACTAGTCAAATTAACAGAGCCAAGAAGTATAATGGTGGTTGCAGGGGCTGGGGGTAAGAAGGAATATGGAGTTATTGTTTAAAAGATACGATGTTTCAGCTGAGAATGACAAAAATTTTCTAGATGTGGATAACGCTGACAGATGCACGATAATGTGAATATATTTAATGCCACAGAACTGTATACTTAAAAATGATTAAAATTAGTAAATATGATGTTTTATATATCTCATCTCTTTATATATGCATTATACATCCTTATTATATATATACACACACACACACACACACACACACAAATTTCCACCGTTGCAATATAGCTCTACCACTTTTTTCTCCAATCCAGTGGTTTTCATAGTCTGCGTTATGTGGTAAGGTAAACTTTCCAATCAGTAAACAGTGGTCAGCTACTAACTCTCTAAAATTTATCTCCTAAATGTATCTAGTTTTAATAATTTCAAACTGTAATGCAGAACATTACTTTGGTCATATTTTTTCATTCTGTCATCACCAACCAGATGTGTCCTATCTTCCCTCAAGCAAAGCAGTTGTTGCTGTGGCCAATTAATGCAGCTCACCAAGGTGAGTGGTGATCCCTGGTCTTCTGTCGGAGTAGGATACTCTAGCCTGGTTTTTATTCACTATTCCAAGGTACCCAAACTGATCAAAACACAACACCAAGGCTAAAAAGGTCCACTTGTATTTCCCTTTTCTATTTTTCCTCACATGGAAAAAGATATGAGAGAAATTGGAAGTGCCCATCCAAGACAAATTAAAACATTCTGGGTTTTTCTCAGGATAATGCCAAAGGCACTTACTTATTAAAGAAAGGTGACTCAGTTGGAATTCCGCGCGAGCACAGAATGAATCAGAAAGCCTGAACGGATTGCAGATGGTGGAAGATGTCAAAAATGTGACGAGGGATTAAATATAAAATACGGGTAATTTTCTGAAACAGAGATGGGTGTTTAATGTGTTAGGGAGACAGAAGCAGCACGGTGACACACAGCGTAGGTACAAGCAAACAATAAGCTCGGTAAATCCCAACT